TGTGTGTGTGTGTGTGTGTGTGAGAGAGTGTGTGCGTGTGTGTGTGAATGAGAGAGTGTGTGCGTGTGTGTGTGTGTGAGAGAGAGGGTGTGCGCATGTGTGTGTGCGTGTGCGCATACGTGTGAGTAAGAGAGTGTGCTTATGTGTGTGTGTGTGTGTGAGAGTGAGTGTGTGTGCGCGCGCATGTGTGTGAGACAGAATTTGTCTGTGTGTGTGTGTGCATGTTTGTGTGAGAGAGAGTCTGTGTGCTAGTGTGTTGATGTCTGTGAGTGAGAGAGTCTGTGTGCGTGTGTGAGTGAGTCTGTACGAGTGTGTGTGTAGGTTGTGTGTGTCTGTGTGTGTGCTCATGTGTGAGTGAGAGAGTGTGTGTGTGTGTGCACTGGTGTGTGTGTGTGTGTGTGTGTGTGAGTCTGTGTGCATATGTGTGCACGAGTGAGAGAGTGCATGCGTTTGTGTGTGCCTGTGTGTGTGCTAATGTGTGAGCGAGAGAGTTTGTGTGCACGTGTGTGTGTGAGAGAATCTGTGTGCATGTGTGTGTGTGAGAGTGTGTGTGTGTGAGAGAGAGAGAGTATATGTGTGTAGGAGCAGCCTCATACATTTGCAGGAAGTTGGAAACACTAATGAGGGAGCATTATTTTACAGCCTAAGAAATCCTTCAGCCCCAGCACAGACATATAAAACAGCCAGCATGTGATTTGAGCACAAATGCAGACAAGTACAGAGGGGTAGGGAAGAAGACAAGCACATTTATGAGCACCGCATGCCTTGGAAAGTGCAATTTCTATTTTCCATCTCTGCCCGGAATGATGTAAAATGTGATTGGAGCATGTGACTGGCTGCAGAGTGACCACTGCAACGTTATATAGAGACTTTGAAGGAGAACAGCTTAGACTGGAGCAGCTGCACTGAACACTGTGGAAAAGCAGCTGCTGTACAGGGGCCATGGTGCTGACACTGGCTGACCCGAGAGGGAGGTCAGATGGGTGGGTGTGTGCTTGGTGGGGGGTGAAGGAACGCTGGATCAGCGGTCAACCTGCCAGCTTTCTCCCCAGGGTGCGTGAGCTGACCTCCTGTGGGCAAATGCAGTCAGCAGTTTTAGTGACTCCCAAACCGAGAGGTGCCCAGTACCTGAAGAAGTTCACACTGTCTGTCTGTTTGATCTGCGCAGATTTTGATGAAAATTGTTCCCTTCTCTTCACTACATCCCAACTCCTTTCCTGTCCGGTCCCCCTTCCCAATCCCCTTTTCTTTTCTTTCCAGGGAATGTCCTGACTCTCACTGGCGTTGAGTGCTCCTGTGCGTGCCTCGGAGAGATGGTCAGCCATTGACGATGAGTAAGTGCAGAGCAGAGAAGCCTGATGCCACCTCCCATCAAGTGGGCCCTGCCCTGTGGACCTGATTGACATTGAGAGCAGGAAACATCACCAAAACATCCCTTCCCCAAACCCCATTGGAGGCAAACTCCAAAGAGCAAAGCAGAAAAGGAAGACAATTCCCAGAAGGAGGAAAAAAGCAGTAAAAGTTGTGTTTGAGACAAACTTGGAGGACCAGTCCATTCGTTTCCAAGTACTACTGTCTTAATTGGCAACCCTTTTTTGGGAAATCTCTCCTGGGGGGTCTCACTAGCCTTGTAACCTCACTGTTCAGGATAGGACTGAAGATCTGAATGCTACGATTTAACCACAGCATTAAAAGAAGGACCTTGCCAATTGAATCTGTACTGACAACATTGTCGTGTTATTTTTTGTTCATAATCCCTGTCTTATCAGCCACCATTTCACACGTTAACAGCCAGAGAATCACAGACAATCTTCCACCACTGAGTCTACTCCTCAGCCTCCAGTTATGTTTTCACCTCATTTCAAGTAAAGAAAAAAAGAAAAATTAAACAAGCATGCTGGAAGTTTTTTTTACATTTGATAGGCAAAGTTAAGTTTGACTCTCATACTTGTGTCTCTGTAGGTCACTAGAGGGAAGCATAAGGAAAGAGCAGAAGACAAGGTATGAAAAAAAAACAAGCTCGGGTTAGATTCAACACACCACTTTCAACAAAACACACGCTTTTCATTCTTCCTCTCTTTGCAAGTTAAACTTGGGCTCCTCATGCCATTAATACATTGTTTGAGAACAGGAGCATACCCTTATCTTTCCTCAGGTGAGGCCTAAGGGCAGGGTCAAGTTGCTAGTTTGGCTCACAAGCTCACACTGAAGTGATTGAGTGAAGAGGGGATTGCTCCAATGGCCATTTGTAGGAACAATGTGTAGCACCTTCCCCTTCCCTTCAGTTGGTGCCTTGAACCAGCACTCGCTTTGACACTTGGAAAATGCCCCCACCCAGTCCTACACCCTCCTAAATCTCCCCCTCCCCACCAGCCCCATCCCTCTGGTCTCCCCCGTTCTCCGATCTCAGCCTACTTGTGGAGGTGGGATCTGCACACAACACCCTCTCCCATTGTGCCCTCATCCCCGCTGATCTGTATTCCGATGGGAAGCGGGGGGGTCTTTGACCATCAGTGGTGGTGAGGATCTCCGACCCATTCACTGTGTAGTGATTAGAGTCAGGTGGACCCTTATTGACGATGAGGTCCTTGATTGGGATTGTCAACATGGGCCAAACAGGGAGCCCTGGATGACTGAAATAAACAGGAGATTCAGGGACTGACTCCAAGCTGGCTGGCCACACTGGGGTCTTTGCCATCAGTAGCAGCGAGGACTTCTGACCCATTCACTGCAAAACACTCCAGCCCTCCCTCCTTCAGCAAGGCACGCTGCCTTAGCACCTGAATCTAGCTCACCTGACGACAGAATGATGTCGCGGTGGTTTGGCATATTCTGTTTCCCAACTGCTTCAAAACAAATTATCCCTTCGGAGGGAGGCGGCTGGGGAGTTGAGTGTATGATGGTTTGGGACGTGAGGAGATATGGGGTGGCAATGAATAGGGATGGGTGATGTGGTGGGGTGGGTGGCTGAATAAAGTGTGCAGGGCAGGAGGGGGGAGTTGTGGTGAACTGGTAAGAAGGGGTTACAGGGAGTTGGGTGGTTTGAATACCCTGCAGTCCATTGAGCGCCAATGGTCTGATAAGACTAGCCCCTGATGAAAAGCCCTTTCTCCTTGCCAGGGTAATTCTGGCTATAGGACCACTCTAACACGAGGCATCCGAAAGAGACACTTTGCCACAGTCATGATAACAATGGTTTTGCAAGAGTTAAGGAAGCACACCTGGTGAGCTAAACACGTCAGCTGATGGGGAATTAAAGACAACAGTTTCCGCAAGCAACGTGTTATAAGGGTTGTTAGTGCCATGGGGTCGCAGAAGAGGATTTGTTAGTAGGTAATTGCCCGTCATCCCTGAAGCAACAAGACAAAGAAAAATACATCAGTTTGGTTTTGTTTCTGTTAAACCTCACAGACTCTGTTCAACACACACACGAACACGCACACTCACACACAAACACACACGCGTACACTCACACAAACACAATCACACGTACACACGTGTACACTCACACAAACACAATCACACGTACACACGTGTACACTCACACAAACACAATCACACGTACACGCACACACACACACAAACACGTACACAGACACACACGTACACAGAAACACACACACGTACACACACACACACGTACACACACACACAGACACACACACACACACACACGCACACACACACACACACACACACACACACACACACACACACACACAC